CTGACAGCAAGAATCAAGGATGCTAAAAGCAACCTTACCTGTGTACTGGATGACAGGCTGCAACGTCCCCTTTCCCTCACACAGTCATACCACTGCCCACCCAAGGACTCAACTCTTCCACGGGATCAGCTCATGACTGGAAAGAGCTGGATAAAGTGGGACCAAACATGACCAAGGCAACACTGAGAGGAAAAATAAAAAAAAACACCAAACAAACAAAAATGAACAGTGCTCCAAAAAGCTGCTCCAGCCCTGAGGAGTCTCCACAGTTGGAGGCACATGCCAAGAGGCAGTCAGTTCTCCAGGGTGCTAAGAGATGACAGAACTTCTCACAGGGACTAACCTCTTCCAGCACAGCACCCACACTGTACTTCAAGTGTGTCTGCCTACCAGAGGCCATCACTTTATGCCAGCAGACAGTGATTTGGCCACCACTGCAGGCACCTATTCTCCCCCATGGCAGAAAGTGCCAGCAGCAATGACCGACTGCTCATCTTGCAACCTGGCTCAGACCAAGCTTGCTGAGTATTTGCTTCACAATAGTTTCAGTGACACAAAATTGAACAAGGACCCTGTACCAACAGAGTTCAGCTTTCACAGCACCATTCACCTCCCTCAGCTACTCCAAAAGTGGAGTCTGGCTTACTAAAAGCCATGGAGGAGACAGCCACCATCAAAGCGCAAACTGTCAACTTAACATTTAAGTTTTTGAGAAGTAAATGCAAATAAGAGGATGCAAAGTGGGAAGGCCTGAAGGTTAAAATTATGCTAGCTCAAAGACGTCACATTTCTATGCCACAGCAAGAGTAATTTCTGCTTTGGGCTACTGGCAGTAACATCTGCAATAAAGAGTAGCTTGCTGCAAAATACAAAGAAGTGAAGGTCTAAAATACAGCTGGAAAAACAAACCTGCCATCTTCATGGATTTCATTACAGCTTGTACTCAAAGGCAAAATAATCACAGCTTGTGACTACGGTCAGATTTTTCAGTTTACCTATCAAAAATGAATAATCTCCTCAGTTGGGACAAAAGTGACAGTTGACCCTTAACACTCAATATCATAACCAAGTCAGTTATGCCCAATAAAGGGTTTACAATGAAGCCTGAAGGTTGTTCTGCAGGAGTACTCAAAGGTTGCTTTTGCTAGGGAAAGCAAAACCAGTGACAGAATGGAAAAAGTCCTAGCTTTAGGATAACACAGCTATGGTCCTTTTCCTCCTTGCTAAAGAGAAGTCAAGATATGCTGCAGCATAACACGTGGCTCAGCACAACTCTGACAGTACTGGTCCTTTGCAAGAAGCATGTCAGTATGGCCTAAAACTTGGAACTACTGGAGATGGGTTACACAGCAGGCACATCCTCAGGGCTCATGAGTTTCGAAGGTAGCAGCTCTGAAGGTAGAAGTGGGATGAGCCAGGGGAAACAGTGTTAAACACTGATCTTTTCACCTCCCAGCCAAGGATAAATCAGCAGCTGTGGGTTTGCATGACACCCGAATCATGTTCTTAAAGGCTGCTGCATCATCAAGTAAATCTCCAGGAGATAAAACTCCAGGATGCTAATGGTCCAGAAGAGAGGCAGTACCAGAATTCCCTCTGATATAACTTCGTTCCACACAATGGCACACAGACTCCACCTGGAAAGCATCACCATCAGCAGGAGTGGTACTAAGTGCTGACAAGGATCCAGGGTCTGGCAGCTTTAAGAGTTTCACCTTGCTTACATGAAGGGTTCCTCTACAGGAAGCATAGCAGTCAAACGCAGGATGAGAGAAAGGAGTAAAGAAGCTTTTACCTATAAAACTGAATACAAACTAAGAAAAGCAGGGCTTGGAGAAAGTCACAGGTATTCCTCTAGACATGGAAGTAACTTGCAATTCCTATGTCTTTTCATACACAGTTGTTACATGGTCTTTTGCAGTTTCTCTCCCCTGCAGATCCCCAACGATGACAGAGCACTTGTAGGCAGATCCAGCCAGTGCTCCAGTAACTGGCATCTTCACCCTGCTCCACTCCTGCCTTGAGGCTGCAGTCCCCACAGGGCAACACACATGTTGTAACCCTCAAGTTCTTGAACTCTGTGTCTCATTAGTCTGTCCTGTTGCATACAGGGAAGCCTCGAAAGTCTGATGTTGAAGGCATACTTGCTTTCTCCTGTATTAAGACACTCTTACCTAACCATAAAGAAAATAAACACAGATACATGTATATATTTCTACTAGTGTCCTTCCTCCCAAGGCCATACTATTCTCAATCACTCATCTGCTTGCAGAACTAAAATACTATCTGCTTTCAGGACTTACCCTACTTAGCCATCAAGCCACTAATTGGCCTTTTAAACCACCATGATCTTTTTCACAACTCCATTTGTTGAAATCTTCACCTTTCAGTTTTGCTGCACTTCTCTGTCCCCTCCTCTCCTTCCTAGAATCTTATCTTTCCTGATCCTCATTCACTTTCAGTCCAATGTCCACCAGAGGTTCTTGTCCCACTCTGCACCAAGGCAACAATCTCCACATCAGACATGCTTCTCTCTTTACTGACAAAGTAAAGATTCTCTTTCGTTAATCTACTGTTCAACTCCTTGGTTTCTGCTTTCCCTGAACCATTTCTTACCATGCCAAGGTGCTAAATGCACATATCTTTCTATTCACAGAACTGGCCCTACAGAAGAGGAACACAGGAGGCATCTTCATCCAGGACCAGCCAGGCCAAGGTACACAAGCAGTGGGGAAGCACCCCTACTACCTCTTGACATTAGGCAGCCTTCTCAGCACAGGAAAACTCATCCTTGTGTCTTCCCCTCCTACAGTAAAAGAATCACCATACTAAAATAAGCCTAAAAATAAGTACTAGGATAGGCTGGGCCAAAAAAGTCATTTTATTCAACAGTTTAGCAACAAGCCAGAGCCCAATCCACCTAGCACATTCTATGTCTCATCTAAGCAGCCCCATACTTAAACGGTTACTTCAAACTCCTTCAGCAACATCTGGAAGCAAGCAATTCACCAGTCCTCCAACTTCAGTACTTTGCAGAAGCAGAGCCTCAGGGGAATTCCTGCCTTCAGAGGAAGATAAACACTCCCCAGAGGTTTCAGGTCATTAAAAGGAAAAGGGTTTTTTAGATGCAGATCAGTGCTCACCAGATAAGCAGGTACCACCTCTTGAGACAATGCCATAATCGGGTCAACGGCTTGCAATTACTCTTATGAAGGTACAAGCATTTTTGAGCTTGCTGTTCAAGTGCCTTCAGTGCCCTGCCTTCACTCTTGACTTGTTACCAGCAGTGTTTTAGGAATCCTCATCTAGACACAGGTTGTTGGGTTTAACACAGGGCCTAGACAGGTTCAGCCACAAAAGCTGAAGATTCGACAGTTTACAGCTACCCCCCTTGCCCTACCACTTGTTTCCCCCTTATCACCCATGTAATCATGCTGAGGACATACCTACTCCACAGCTTTAGGTACCACACACCAGCCATTTCATCAGTATTTGCAGTGACAACCCAGGATGAAGTTTGCCACAGTTCCAAAGCAAATTTACTCTTTGCTCTGCCAT